TCTCACATTTTCCTAGAGAAGAGCTTGACAAGGACATGCCCATCTTGTTACAGGGGCAGGGAGTGAGCCTCAGGAGATCTCAACTGAGTCTGCACCTTTGCTTGGGATGCAGGACCTGGGAGAGGTGGCTCAGAGCAGCATGAAGGCCTTGGCCTGGGGGGAGAGGGGGAGGCAGACCTGGGAGTGAGGGGCGGTGAGCAGCCCCAGAACACTGACTATTATGAGAATGACCCGCTGCTATGGCCTCCCTTTGCCCCGTGCAATGGATGGAATCTTTCCATGTCCATCAAAGCCATATATGAAGCCTTAACCCCCAAGGTAATGCTGTTTGGTGGTGGGTCCTGTGGATGTGACTGGGTCGTGAGGGTGGAACCCTCATGAATGGGATTAGAGCCCCTCTTAGTCCATTTATTGTTGCTATAAAGGAGAACTTGAAGCTGGGTAATTTCTAGAGCAAAGTGTATTCCGCTCACAGTTCTGCTGACTGGAAGTTTCAGGTTTGGGCTTCTGGTGAGGGCCTCAGGCTGCTTCGAAGCATGGAAGGTGAAGGGGAGCTGGTGTGTGCAGAGATGGCCTGGTGAGAGGAGAAGCAGGAAGGAGGGGAGGGGCCAGGTTCTGTTTAACAACCAGCTTTCTTGGGAACTAATAGAGTAAGACCTGACCCCTCCCCAGAGAGGGCATTCATGTATTCATGAGGGGCCAACCCCATGACCCCAAACCTCCCATTAGACTCCACCTCCAACCATGCAGATCATACCTCAACATGGGATTTGGAAGGGACAAACATCCAAACTACACCAGTGCTTCTGATAAAATAGCCCCCAGGAGATCTCATGCCCATTTCGCCATATGAGGACAGTGAAAGGACAGCTGTCCGTGACGCAGGACGCAGGCCCCTGCCAGACCCTGAGTCTGCCAGCACCTTGATCTTGGACTTTTAGCTTTCAGATCCGTGAGATATCTATGTCTTTTGTTTATAACCCACCCAGTGTACAGTACTTTGTCACAGCAGCCTTAACAAACCAGACTCTCAGTCAGAAGGCATCGTCTGAACCAGACTTTTCAGAGGGCATTTTGAGAACTCTGAAAGGTGATCTTTTTGGCTCCCTGCTTGTGTGGGGTGGTAAAGGAGGGGTGAGGTGTGTTTTTCCAGTGAGTCGGGCTGCATTTCTCTTTGTTGCTTGACAATGGACTCCCTTTTATTCAGAGAGGATTATATGGGTGTGTCTTAGTCTGTTTCCTGTTGCTGTAACAGAATAGCTGAGACTGAGTGACTCATAAAAAATAGAAAGTTATTTGGCTCAGTCTTGGAGGCCTGAAAGTCCCAGATCACAGGACCCACATCTGGTGAGGACATCTGTGCTGTGTCATCCCATGGCAGAAGGCAGGGAGCGCGAAAGCAGGGGTAAGAGGATGACAGAACAAGAGAGGGCCGAAATGACTTTTACAGTAACCCAATGTCATGATAATGGACCCATTTTCACAATAATGAGGTCAGTGCTTCGTGAGAGCAGGGCCGTTATGACCTAGTGACCTCTTAGAGGGCACATCTCTTTACACTCTGCATTGGGGATTATACTTTCAACACATGGACACATTCAAACCACAGCGAGGTGTTTGGCGTTTTATCACCATGCCATGTTCACATTTCTCCCGTAACCCTGGGTTACCCTTTCCTCGTGAATTGCAGCGTGCTTGCTGAACTCTTGTTCTGTATGGTTAAATCTCCTATCAGAGTTTTGGGACTCTATCCAACTCTTTGTTGTTTTGCTGTAAATAACGACTTTTCTTGCCGTCCAGCAAAATGTTTTAAAACAAGATGATACTTGATATGGAAGGGCTCAAACATCCTTTATTGCTCTGATAAATAACTCACTTGGTGTGGGAAAGAAGAAATTTTTATCCCCTCATCATCCTATCTGTTGGTCCCCACTAAAGAAAATCCGCCAGGATTTCCTTCAGTGCAGCTAAAAGGGTGGTGCTGATAGCTGAGACTTGCTCTGAGGGGAGAACAAACTTGCTCAGTTCTTGAAGGCCTCAGTTTTTAGCTGGCTTGTGGGCAGAGGCCAGCCTCAGTTCCTCTCCATGTGTGCCTCTCCAACAAAACCACTCATTTTATCAAAGCCTGCAAGCTGAGAAGACTGCTGAGTTGCTTAGCGTGATTGAAGTGGCAATCCTGTCTTTCCTAACGATGGAAAGAGTACTTTTTTTGGAGTTACAGTATTCTATTGGTTAGAATAAAGACACAAGTACCAGCCATACTCAAGAAGAGAAGTTTGCCCAAGGGCATGAGTACCAGGAGGCAGGGATCTAGTGGAACGTCTTGCCATCTGCCCACTTCCTGTCTCATGAACAATGAGCTGCCTCGGTTCATGAGACAAGGAGCTCCATCCTGTCTCGTTAGTAGTCTTCTAGAAATCTTAGAAAATAAAAAAGTGCTGGGAAACCAGAGACAATCATCTTTCCAATTACAAAGGGAAGATGGATTCTGAAAACGATATACCATAAGGCATGACATCAAATCTAGAAATGTTTTAGGATAATGTTTAATGCAAGTGTAATGAGAATAGGGCCAGGGAGCACGAAGTCCTGCTATGGCTTCACTAAGAATGAAACTGGCCCATTTTCTTTCACTACTAAGTTCGTAGATTCCTGAATCGGAAGTAGGGGAGAAACAGTTGTTTTTTTACATTAGCCAAGCATTTAGGGCAAAATACAGATAAATATTGGAGGAATGTTAGACAAATTTTTTAGCCTGTTGAATTGTGGACTCCAGACAGTTCACATCAATGAAGACAGAATTTTCTTGTGACTTGATACGGAACATCTCTGTTTAGTGCAAAAGCTTTAGCAATGGAATATAAAAGGATATTCTCATCAAATTTATAGCAAACACAATGTTGAGATAAATGCAACCAATTGGACTCATGGAATCAGACAGAGTCTTGACCTTGACCAGCCAGAGGATGAGTTGAAAGTAAGATAAATTATAATTGTATGTTTCACAATTGGCTATAAAATACCAATGGCACAAATACAGGTTGCAAGAAGCACAACATAATAGAAGCATTAAAGAAAACATGAGTTAGGTGTTTTATCTAGCAGAAGTTCCTTATTAGTTGAGAATGTAATTTGAATGATGTGGTTTCTTGGTCTGGATGGTAGAAGCTATAATAATAAAGGGTATGCAGGGAAGGGTATCAGCTTCATCTAGGGAGGTCATAGAAGGAGTCATAAAGGATGTGTGGTTGGAGGAGGTGCATTTTGGATAAGTAAGAAGTCATTAAACTGCTGAAAACTAGGTGGGATAGAGAAAGTTGTTCCAGAAAGAGGCAATGGCTGAAGGAAAGGCAAGAATACAGACATTTATCTATGATTTCAGACAAATTTTTCGCACCAAAAGGATTCAAGAAAACAAGACAATGAGAATCAAAACATGAAATGGGCCTTGGTACAGAAGACAAAGATAATGAAAGTAGGAGTAAGTCTTCCTAAGAAATGTTGTTACATGTGTGCTTGGGACCAGGTGTCAGGCTTTGTTCAAGAAATTTTCAGCGAAGTATTGTTATGGGATTTATGATGAAAGGAATGGTGAGGAAGTTAACTTAGGTCCTCTGGGAAAATCAGTGTTTAGAATCACTAGCCTGACGATAGTTTTATACCTTGTAAAATAAGTCTGGTGCAATTATCAAAGACATATTTGCATGCTTTTTTAAAAACTTTTATTTTAAGTTCAGGGGTACATGTTCAGGATGTCCAGGTTTGTTACATATGTAAACCTGTGTCATGGGGGTTTGTTGTACTAATTAGTTCATCACCCAAGTATTAAGCCCAGTACCCATTAGTTATTTTTCCTGATCTTCTCCCTACTCCCACCCTCCACCTTCTAATAGGCCCCAGTGTGTGTTGTTCCCCTGTATGTGTTCTCATCATTTAGCTCCCACTTATAAGTGAGAACATACAGTATTTGGTTTTCTGTTCCTGCATTAGTTTGCTAAGGATAACAGCTACTATCTCCATCCATATTCCTGCAAAGTGTGTGTTCTAATTCTTTTTCATGGCTGCATAGTATTCCATGATGTACATGCACCACATCCTGTTTATCCAGCCCATCATCGATGGGCATTTGGGTTGATTTCATGTCCTTGCTATTGTGAATAGTGCTGCAATGAACATACACACCCATGCATCTTTATAATATAAAAATTTTTATTCCTTTGGGTATATGCCCACTAATGGGATTGCTAGGTTGAATGGTACTTCTGACTTTAGGTCTCTGAGGAATCACCACACTGTCTTTCACAATGGCTGATCTAATCTATACTCCCACCAACCGTATATAAGCGTTCACTCCTCTCCACAACTTTGCCAGCATCTGTCATTTTTTTGACTTTTTAATAATAGCCATTCTGACTGGTGTGAGTTGGTGTCTCATTGTGGTTTTGATTCGCATTTCTCTAATGATCTGTGATGTTGAGCATTTTTCATGTTTGTTAGCTGCATGTTTGCCTCCTCTTGAGAAGTGTCCATTCATGTCCTTTGCCCACTTTTTATTGGGGTTGTTTGTTTCATTCATGTAAATTTGTTTAAGTTCCTTATAGATGCTGGATATTAGACCTTTGTCAGATGCATAGTTTGCAAAAATCTCCCATTTCATAGGTTGTCTATTTACTCTGTTGATAGTTTCTTTCAGCATGTTTAATTTTTTAACTTAGAAATCAAGTGTGTACAACGCTGAAGAGAAAATTCAAACTCTTCTAGCATGCAAATATTTCTGTACGATTTTCCTGTAAGACAGGCCTGTAGAGACACGGAAGAATCAGAACAAAGTCAATGGATTGATTTCAACTTCATTTTGAAATTATAGGCAGCTGTAATCTCCGCCCCGCCCATCTTGTATTTGATGGAAATAAAGAACGCGGCAGCCTTGTCTCCTACTGGGCTCTCAGTGAGGATACGGAAGGAAAGGCAGAGTCAGATTAGCTGGGCTGTGGGTGGTGATGGAGCTGAAGCAAAGCCATTCTGTGAGGCTGAATGATGGACACCTCATGCCGATGCTGGGATTTGGCACTTATGCTCCTGATCATGTAAGTGGACCTCTGGAGGTTGAGGGGTCTTATATTTTTTTGCACTAAGAGGATGATAAGCTGTTGACCCTGAGAGTTCGGAGGTTGAACTCCATTCTTGCTTAGAAATGTGAAGGGCCACACTCTTGGCTCCACTCTTGGTTAGAAATGTGAAGGGCCACACTCTTGGCTCCACTCTTGCTTAGAAATGTGAAGGGCCAAGGGCCCGGGGGAAGCGGAAGCCAGCATGAATGCTTGCTGGCAGCTTTGCTGTGAGGTTGTTGGGGCTGGAAGTATTTGCCAGGGAGTTTCGACCATCCAAACCTTTTGTCATGTAGGAAGACACTGTGATTTGAAACATTAGGTAATTCGATGGGAAGACTTAGGGGGTACAACATCACAGTAAGGACTGAATTGTGTTTCTCCAAACACACCACACAGTCATCCACTCAGTTCACACCATACAGTCATCCACTCAGTTCACACCATACAGCCACCCACTCAGTTCATGGCAGAGAACTTGAAGTGTCACACTCTGGTCACAGTAATGTAAGGGCAGCTTTGGGGTTGCTTTGGAGGGATTACCCCCAAAATGAGAGACCAATGGATGGGCTCAATCTTGGTAGAACTCTGTCACGAGATATCACTAGATAACAGCTGCCAGAAAGAGTCAGTAGGTTTCCAATGGCATAATTATCCATTTCATCCATTAGGCATAATGTGTGTCTTATATATGTTTTATATAATGTTTATTACTCTTAGAAAAGACAGAAAAGTGCCATAGAGAATAGAACAAAATTCCCCATAACCCCCTCATTTACCGTAATAAATTGTACTACATGCATATGCTTAATATTCAGACGTTTTAAATGCACTAAGTGAAAAAGAAGCGTCCTTAATACTCTAATTGGTGTTTTTACCTTAAGTCGCTGCAGGAATGAGAAGTTTTTTTCCTGCATGTGTGTTCTCTGTCTTTTGTCCTGCTGTTCTAGGAAGCTTGCTAGGGCAGAATCTCAGATTTAGCCGTTAAACTATCCCCTGTTTGAAATTTGAGGCAGAGCATGTACATATTATTGTCCAAACGTTGCAACGCCAGCTTGGTGAGGTGACATCTCCGTCCTGGGTGAAACCAGGCCAACTATTGACTGGAACCCTTACTAATAACACAAACATATTTTGCATGTTATATGTATGATAGACTGTATTCTTCTAATACAGTAAGCTAGAGAAAAGTAAGCTAGAGAAAAGAAACTCTTATTAAGAAACTCATAAGGAAGAGATGATATATTTGCTATTCATTAAGTGGAAGTAGCTTGTTACAAAGGTCTTCATCCTTGTCATCTTCACACTGTGTAGGCTGTGGAGGAGGAGGAAGAAGAAGGGTTGGGGTTTCTATCTCTGGGGTGGCAGAGGCAGAAGAGGTGAAGGAGCGGGAAGGGAGGCAGGAGAAGCAGGCACACTTTGTACTTTTGATTGAAACAAAATCATGTATAAGTGGGACTGTGCAGTTTAAACCTGTGTTGTTCAAGGGTCAGCTGTATATGTGTGTAGTGCGTGTATGTGTATCAATTGACCTGTCCTTCCTATGGAGTGACTTAGAAAATTTCTCCCAGTATCAGAAGTTTTCCTGTTGGTTGTTCTTGTACAATTGATTCCTGTGGAATGAGATGTGATTTTTCCATGCTCCAGGGTGAAGCCCATTCCACTAATTTATTAGGGAGTAGAAACTTACAGGAGGTTAGTTGCTGGCCCCGGAGTGTGCAGGTCTATCATGGAAACCCACGTGATCCAAAGGGGAGCAGGAGGCCAGCAGATAGTGAAGATGCTATTGGGTAGCAAAGACATGGGCTCAACCTAAATGCCCGTCCACGGTAGACCAGATAAAGAAAATGTGGTACATAAACACCATGGAATACTGTGAAGCCACAAAAAAGAACTAGATTATGTCCTTTGCAGCAACATGGATGAAGTTTGAGGCCCTTATCCTAAGCAAACTAACACAGAAACAGAAAACCAAATATCGCACGTTCTCACTTACATGTGGGAGCTGAACAACACCCAGGGATACTGGGAGGGGAATGACAGACACCGGAGCCTATTTGAAGTTGGAGGGTGGGTGGAAGGAGGGAATCAGAAAAAGTATTTATCAGGTACTATGCTCATTACCCAGCTGACAAAATAACCTGTATACCAAACGCCTGTGACACACAGTTTATCCATATAACAAAGCTGCCCGTGTGCCCTGAACCCAAAGTAAAAGATTAAAAAAAAAAAAAAAAGGAAAAGAAAAAGAAAATGCCGCTATGGAAATCTATTGATTTTCTCTGAGTCAGGCAGGTCATTGACTCCTCTTACTCCTGTTTTATAGACCCCCAAGAGCAAGGCTGGTGAAGCCACCAAAGTGGCTATTGATGTAGGCTTCCGTCACATTGATGCAGCGTTCTTCTACCAAAACGAGAAGGAGCTCGGAAAGGCCATTCGAGAGAAGATTGCTGATGGCACTGTGAAGAGAGAGGACATTTTCTATACTACCAAGGTGACAGTTCTGTGTGTGCAGTGGCCAGAGGCCACCGTCAGTTCAGATGTATTATTTAGAAAAACAATGTGGTCTCAGTTTGACCAATGTATTTACCTAATATTGTGAAGGCACATTATCAAAACATAGGAACAATGTATTTATTATCTAATATTGTGAAGGCACATCATCAAAATACAGAAGAGGCTGTAGTTTTGCTCTGAAATGTGTGAAAGGTGGGACACAGTTCTTCAATGTCTCTGAGCAGTAGATATTATTCCGATATAAAATGATATTGATAATACTTAAGTCATTGTTATACGATTACCCAAGGCACTCTGGGGCCACTCCATTAATTCTTAGTAATTGTTCTCAGGACATATCAAGTGAGGTTGGGATATTGTTCAGAAAAGGGAGCCAGACTAGGAAATACTTTTTTCTTTTTCAACTCGGCATTGAGTTTCCTGAATGTTATAACATTTTCCTAGCGTGGAAAACCTTTCTTCCAATGTAAACAAAGCTTTGGTTTGTGGAGATATATCCTATGCATGCTTACACCGATGACAACCTGTTGTTAGGATGCATCTCTCAGCAGAATTGTTTTGAGGAATTCATTATACAGGACAGTAGAATCCATTCCCCCTGTCCTAACATTTCTTGACTGCTCTCAGAGGATGATGCCATTAACCCTTGATACATTAAAGTTGATTTTCCTGCTCCATCTAAGTTTTATTCACAGTTTTCTTACATTGCAGTCTTTCAAGTAAATCTCAGCATCTCATCAAGGATGTAATTTACCCTGAATAACACAAACGTAGCCCCAGCTCTTTTAGTTTTAGACCGCAGTGTTTTGTTACTCACGTGTCAATTTCTAACTGTTATGTTTAATTTTGGTCCCCACATATGTGAAATCATACGCTACTTTTTCTTTTGTTCACTGCAGCTTTGGACAACTTTCTTTAGGCCAGAATTAGTTCGCCCAGCCCTGGAAAGGTCACTGAAGAAACTTCAACTGGACTATGTCGATCTCTTCATTATCCACAATCCATTGGCTATGAAGGTCAGCTTTTGTTTTTCCCTTCTTATGCCCCAGACAGTTTTATCACTGTTATTAGCACCTCCATTGTCTCATTCCAGCTTGATTTCCTGGGTTCTTTCTGAGAGAGGTAGGTTTGAGTGAATTGCATAGAATTGCTAAATCATTCATGAGTCTCCTTCACAGCCGAGTGACATTGAAATTTTCTGTCTGTGCTCATTCCCCAGCCTTAAGCGAGATGCAGGTTCGATGATCTCACTTCCTCTGTGCTAGAAAGGTGAGGGCACTGCCCTGCGTTTCTTAATGATTATATTCCTGAGTGTAGGTTCTGAGCTATTAGGTTACTGCAGACTACAGAGATACAACGTGAAATCTCCACCTCTTTATGGTGAGGGTTTCTCCCATATGTACCCCTCAGCCCCCAGGAGAGAGAGGTACCCGGGGTGGCACATGTGGCACAACTGGACTCCTTTGGGCTTCACTGATCCAACCTCTCATCACAGTGGACATTGACTAAGCACATCTGATGTCCTCATTATCTGAGTTGGGTGAGCATAAACTGAGGCTAAACACACTGATCAATAGTTGTGGTAAGCTCTGTCCTCCACACCAGCCTGTCCTTCGGAAATGAAATAAATTTCAACTGCAGGGACAGCATTCTTAGTGAAGTGTGGGGGTGTACGGAGGAAGGAGCCTGCAGATAACTGTGGAGAAAAAGTGTTTTGCTACCGTCTCTCAGATTGTTCTCATCTTTCTTTTTTCCCATGTCTTCTCTTACCGACCCGCTCCACACACGCACATGCACATCCACACCTATCCTTATCTACACACATGTGCTCATGCATACACACATATGCACACAGGCACACACACATGCACGCATGCATACACACACATGCACACAGGCACACACACATGCACTCACGCATACACACACATGCACACAGGCACACACACATGCACACATGCATACACACATCTGCGCATGCAGACACACAAGCACACGCATCCACACACATGCACACATGCATGCTCAGATTAATAACCACAGCCTCCTGAAAGCGGTGTGGTTAAGCTCCTTAAGCACCAGAAAGGGAATTTTCATACAAAACCTTCTTCTTTATCCTCTGTTTTCTCTGTTTTCCAGTCTGGGGAGGAATTGCTGCCTAGGGATGCCAGTGGAAACATTATTTTTGACACTGTGGACCTTCGTGACACATGGGAGGTATGTTCTGCTGCAGACACCAGGCAGCGCTGTGTGGTGAGGTTGGAATCACAGAAGGAGGGGTCAAAAGAGATGTGGTTTTCGCTCCAGCAGTTCTCTGACCTCAGACGTGGAACTTCTCTGCGCCTCCGTGTTCTCATCGGTGAAGTGAGGGAGTGGAATGAGATGACCCCTATGGTCCATGTTTAATTTTAACTTCTATGGCTCCTCATAGACATGGAAGCAGCTTTACCCTTGAGATCAGGTTGAGGACATGAGCCCTAAGGAGGAGTCAGTATAGAGAAGCACAAAAGGAGTCAGCACTTTATCCCAGGACAGAAACACATCACAGAGGAGAACAGTTGCGGCCTGACTCAGCAGGAGGGTGGAAGGAGCAGGACAGTGAACCTGCCCTTGCAGCACCTATACCATTCATTTGTTTTTATCATTGTAGAAAGAGGCAGCAACAGACCCTTTACTAGAGGAAAGGCTGAGAGTTTCTTTTGCCCTTGACTGTGGTGTAGTTTGTTAACTATTGCATCCTAACAGCAAAATAGGTACCATAGAAGTAAGTGGGACAGGTAAGAGGAAATGGAAAAGCAGCTTTATGTTTATTTGGTGTCCCGAGTGTGCATGTAATACAATTAAGGAGACAAATATGTATACGGAACAAGAAAGCGCATTCAAAATTAATTTATTCAAGTGATAAAACTGTTTGATTCATTATAATTGTAATATATCATAAGTCAGATTTTCAGTTTATAAAAAGTCAGTGACAAATGAAATGGACAAACTACAGCAAAGGTCTACCATCCATTTCCTTCCTTCCCAGGCCCTGGAGAAGTGCAAAGACGCAGGTCTAACCAAGTCCATTGGGGTGTCTAATTTCAATCGCAAGCTGCTGGAACTCATCCTCAACAAGCCAGGGCTCAAGTATAAGCCCACCTGCAACCAGGTGAGCCCTTAGCCTACCGGGGCCTTCTCTGACTTTCTGCTCTTCACACACTTGCCACTTAATCATGCTGCCAAGTTTCTGGCTTTATATCACCTGTGTAGATGACCGTTCCTTTCACAGAAAGAGAAAATACTAGAGAAAAAGCAGTGTGAGTGGAGCAGAAGAGCCTGACTTCAGTTCTTTGGGGCTGGCTGTGAAGTTCCTATGAGACAGCCAAGTGGAGGCAGAGTTGGGAGGTGGTCGCTTTGGTCTGGAGCTCAGGGGGTGGTCTAGGTGGAGATACAGATGTTTGGAATCATTGCTTTATAGATGGTAACAACTCACAGACAAGGATTAGCTCTCCTAGGGAAAGTTCATGAATGAAAAGGAACAGGCAGGAAAGTTCACAGCAGAGGGTGAGGCAGAGAGGCACTGGCAAGGAGATTGAACAGGAGCTGCCAGACAGGTGGAGACAACCAGGAGACTGTGGCATCAGGAGCCAAAGAAAGAGCATTGAAGTGGCTTGA